AATATCAATATTTTAATCCATGGCCTCGGGATTTTAACAAATTATTACACATTCACGTCATTCGATTGGAAAAATTTCGAAAATTATATTTTTATAATTGTTGTTCTGCTTTTATTTATAACAAATTGTTAAACTATTAAACAATTAAATACTAAATAATTTTATTTTTTCAAAATTGCTTAAATATTAATATTTTTTGAGTTATTAACGAAAAACTAAATACCATTTTTTTCATCTTATTTTGTTAATAACAATTGCAATTTTTTACCTGCACCAAAATCCTTCAAAAACACTTTTCTAGAGGTGATTTCGAATCAAATGAGCTATCGTTCATATTTTTGGGACCTTTATCTCTATTTTTCATGTTTTTGAACTTGTTGATTAGACTAAGATATTTCGACTCATACTTTGTTGACTCAACATATCACATTTGAATTTCCAGCTCAAAACTGATTTTCCACCGGTTTCTCAAATCATTTTCGAATTCAAAGGTAGTTTTTTTAGGATCGGAAATTTATCAAATACTCTTTTTACAGACTACTTAGAGTGATATCATCCGATATATTATTCTCTTACGTAAAGTTCTTTATGAGTTATGCATGCACTTAGGCAGTTCTCATGCTCTCACAAACAGTTAACTATCCTGGAAACTTTCATGATACAAACCCCATCCAGATAATGAATTCAGTTTGTAAGTTTAGAACCGCCAAAGCGAAAAACTTCCAAGAAATTTTCGGGTTGTTACGAAAACTTCAGGAAGTCTAAATATGACGCTTTGAACAATGCTAACTTTCATGAGTTCTGAAAATACGCATTTTGCAGGATTTTTTTTATAGATCATAATTCTCAGCTCCTGTCGTTTTGAAAGATACTGCCAGAATATCATTCAAAAAGGGTCCAGTAAATTGTCAGAAATCATTTGAGTCTATTACTATAATACATTTGTTGATATACCGATAAACTATGGAGTAACGAGTGATTTTTTTCATTCAAATCAAAAATGGATTATTTCTGGAGAAAAAATGTCAGTTTGTTGGGAAGAAGGTTTTTTTTCCTCGTTTCTTGGTAACTTTCCCACATTTTTTGTTCAATGCTGGAGAATTGGACATCCAAAGAACTTTCTTCCCAATACACGTTTTAAATTCATCCTCCTCCTAATTTCAAAACATAGAAACCTAAAGGAAAATTCTGGAAACGAAGGAAATAAACATTTACTAGGATATTCTACATTCATTCATATTCATGTATGCATGCAATTTTGTAATGTATTCACTGACTATGTAGGTTTGGAAGTAACTTTAAGCAGAAGCACGTTTTCGAAATTATTATGTATATTTTGCTCATTTTTTTATTCACAGGCATTTTATATGAGGCAGCGGGCAACCATTCACGTCGATATTGCCAGGCAGCTGCTTGGCGAGTACAATAATGTTTGTTTGACATTTCAGTTAACTATTATGAATGGTACATTAAAAAAATATCGGGTTTTTGATGAATTTGCAACTCATTGACCTGTTTTTCTCTTTTCAAAGTTCTATTGTAACATTTTATCAAATCCCATTTTGAGTACTTCAACATTTTACTTATATTAATTGTTGTTGGCCTAATTATAAAAGCAGTCAACTATATCATTTTACAGATTTTTCCATAGAAAAGACAAACAATATGTTTTAATTCTCATATCAATTTTGAACAATTCAATAATTGATTCATTCATGAACGTGAATTTCGATTTTGATATTTGGAGTTACGTGGTTTCACAATTAATCGAAGAATTACATCCAGCATACTTGGAAAAATATTCAGTAACCGTGATAAAGACGTCACACAAAATTCCATACCGCTATTTTCATTTACATTTTATTTTCCCATTACGTTTTTATCAAGTCATTTATTTGACAGTTGTAATTTTGACATAAGAACCGAACAAAAAACGTTATGGTGCACAAAAATAATTTTTGAATTTTTGGGTATTTAGAGTATTTTTGAGAGAGTGAGTATTCACAACTTCTGAATGGAATATTCAAATTTCCTGCCTAGAAAAAAATGTCGTGTCTACATATTGAAGTAACACATTTATAACACATTCCTAATTTTTTCAACTATCGTGAATGTTAGATGAATATCCTTTCATGCATGTCACACGCATATGTTAAAAAGTCAATTTCTCCGTAATTAATTATGATTATAACATTCATTACATTTGAGTGCATTCGCATAAATACATTTTCATACCTTTTTCCGATTCATGATAAAGATTTTGCCAGAGTGTATACTTTAGTAAAACACCAGTTTGCTAACTCACTCAAAGCAGAAAGTGAAAACTTTGAAAATGATCTGGAAACTGGTCAGGTTTTGAAAGTATAGGATATACCTATACAGGGTATTTCCTAACTACGGTACGAAACTTCAGAGGGTGATTCGTTAGGTTGTGTTGAGAAAGAAGTAATTCATTTCTGAGAAATAAGGCGTTGAAGTTTAAAAAAACGACCCTTTAGGTGTTAGTAAATTTTTTTTTTCTTATTAGTCAATGGGCTATGCTTCGGAAGAGGAATGAAATACTCTGAAAGAATTCCGATTTTCAAATATAATTGACTTTAGGTCGATGATGGTCACTATCTTGCACTGATGAGTGGCTAATAAGCCCGAAACCGGTCTGCAAGTGTGCCCGTTCCATAATTGAAGGTCGACTCTTTCAGTTGTATTGCCAATTGTATATGCAGGACATTTTCTGTGAAGATTCCTGCACTGACGCCTGTCTGATATAATCCAACGCCCTTCGTGGTATTAGCCAGGGGAGTAGTTGTTTTCTGATAGGCGTCAGTCCATTAAACCTACTGTGTAGGTATATAGAGACTGGCTTGAACGTTTGAAGTTCCATTTGCTTTAGATTAGTAAAATTATTTATCACTGCTAATTGACAACTCTGTCTTTCAAAAAACCTTCGATCAAATAGACCATTATGTTCCTCTCATCAAATAGCAAAATTGGGACTTTCTAACCAACTGCTTACTCTAATTGAATCATATCTAGTTGACAGAAAACAATTGTCGAATGTGAATCTTTCAAATCGGCTCAGTACGTAGTTACATCTAGGGTACCACAAGGTTCTAATCTTGGACCTCTTTTATTTTTAATTTTTAATAATGACTTGGCAAACTCTTTGAATATTCCTAACCTATTATTTGCAGACGACCTGAAAGTATATCATAAAATATATAATAAAACTTTGGTGTAATAATAATCGTCTACAACTGAACGTATCCAAATGTAAAATAATATCATTTACAACAAAAAAGCGTAATGTACGATTATTCAATCAACAATACTACAATCAACCGCGTACATGAGATAAAAGATCTTGGTATAACATACGACAGTAAGTCAACATTTACAACACATATAATGAATATGACTGTTGATGCAAATAGGATGCTTCATTTAGAGAAATGGCAAAAACTTCAAAAGTATTGCCACCCTAAAATTGACATATTTTGCGTATGCCAGATCTAAGTTAGAGTATGGTTCTTTGTTATGGAATTCAGTTTACGACTACCAAAAAACATCAATTGAGAGCGTGCAAAGGAAGTTTCTAAAATACCTATGTCTAAAAGTTGATAGACAATACCTCACGAGAGGCATCGATCATAACATTTTGTTGACACGATTTGATATGACATCTTTGAAAATAGGAGAGTTAACCTTGGTATAAAATTCCTGCGTGAATTACTAGACAACAATATTGACAAGAATATCGCAGAAGGACATGAGTTCAATCAGGAACACGAGGTGTTACATTTAGAAGAGAAGAGTTTGAAACTCAATCTTCTAGAATGTTCAGAAATCAATAGATTCAGGAATTCAGGTAATTTACTGAATGATCAATTAGAATTAAATAACTCTCTGTTACTGAATATTTTTTCAAATGTGGAAAATGGAACATAAGCTCAGGTAATAAAATTCATTACAAACACAGGTAAAAAATCAGGTACTTAAAATTCAGGTACTTAAAATTCAGGTACCTCAAATTGTAGAATTAGATATATATAGCATTTAATGTGTAGAATTTATTATTAAGACACGCCTGAGGAAGCCATTGTATAGCGAAACACGTGTTGCGTTTTTGTAAAACTATCTAGTGAAAACCACACAATAAAGTGTTTTTAGAATACGTTAATCATAAAAGGTTTTCTTATTCGAAGTTCATTGTAGAAAACGCTCAGAGCAATGGAGAAAATATGAATAGGCACCTAAAAATGAAAGAAAAACTCTCGAAAAACTCTACGATACATAGGGAGACGTGAAAGTTGCTATTATGTTTTTATTCAACTCAATCAAAAAATTTCCAGGGCCGTAATTTAAAAGGGAATAATTCGCACAATTATTATCGAATATTACCGAAACATCTCGAAATATAAAATTGAATTCAATTTCTCAACGTCTACGATCCAAAAACTACAACAAAAAATACAGGTCCGTATTTAAAAATTCAAAGATGGGGGTGCCCAAGTCAGATGACACACTGTATAAAAGATTCATGGATATATTCTGAGAGCCCACATCAAGTGCCAATAGCAAAATGTGGACAGATTTTCAATATGTCTGCGAATAAAGAAGATATAGGCAAAAAAATAATTTGGGATTTTTTTGTTTTTTCTGTATATCTCCAGAACCAAAAGAGCTATATCCGATTTTTTCACATCGTTGAATAGGTCTCTGAAATACGCAACTTTGCCACACTCTAACCGACACTCTATCTCTTATCGTTCACGAGATCCCCATGTACAGAAGCGAATTGAATAGCTCTGTATATTTTTTCTGCATCACAAACAAACTCAACTTCAAATCGAGTCACCCTGTACTATTTCGCTACCTCACTGGTGCTCTCAGCAAAACATCGACAACTCGAAATTTTCTGCATCACGTGAATGGTTGTCAGTGACGAGCATGACCGCAGAAATCTCTTTGAACTCCCCGCTGAACCCGTATCTCTTATTTAGATCATCAATTCTATCACAAATGGGCCCTACTCACAGACCCCGACGATATTGCGGGAGGTCCCAAAGGATACCTGAAGTGCGACATAAGCGTCATTGGCAAGGGAGACTCCGTGAAGGTGCCCCCGAAAAGCGAGAAAGATGAAGACGACATCGAGGCGTGAGTAGTTTTATTTTCCGTTGCTTTATTACAACTTCCGAGGCAAAAATTATCACCACGCTTTTATTCACTTCACTTGTATGTTTGTTTGTAACCAACTTTCAGTGGAACACAACTTTCACGTGATTTTCTTCCAGGAATCTGCTCTTGCCAGATGGCGTTCCAACCGACAGACAACGAGCTCGATTCATCGTGAAAATTTATAGAGCTGACGGGCTACCCAAAATGAATTCTTCGCTGATGGCAAACGTCAAGAAGGCATTCACAGGCGAATTCAACGACCTAGTGGACCCGTACGTACAAGTTTCATTTGCAGGACTGATGGTAAGTCATAGCAACTTATATTCTCCAACTCAAATTTCTATCAATCAAGAATGGGCTTGTTTCTTGCTATTGAAAATGATACTGGTTTGCATATATACTGATCGAGTTAGGGGTATATTATACTCATCAAGCCTAATCGGTTCCAAGATCTCTTTATATTTGCAGAAAAAAGAACAATTTGAAAAGCAAGAATTTAAATTGGCTGCGTGTCTGTTGACCAATAAAATTCAACGTGTCTAAAGCGGAGTTGCCAGGTGTATTGGTTTTTAATATCCAATCACAGATCTGATGATCCATGCAACTTGACAGGCGACATTTTTGTTGTTATTGTTGTCAACTCGGTGTGAATACAACTGTTATAATTACCTATATAAAGAAAGTTTTTTTTGTAAAAGGTAGGTCTTGGCGGGTGCCTATTTTGCTACATATTCCACGTCATTAGTTTACATTCCGAAAAATATTTTTTCAGGTTATTTTTGGATTGAATTTTATCATTACAACCACCAAAATGGTTAAAAAAAATGTTATACCTAGTTGGAGAAACAGATCATCCATACCAGATAAAAAGTTTTTCAGTGTTTCAAAAAACGAAACTCTAAGACAGGGGTCTCCAAACTACGGCCCGCGGGCCAAATCCGGCCCGCGACATCCAATGATTTACTGTCATCAATCTGGCCCGCGACAGCCAATGATTACCTAATTGTTGTTACTATTGCTGTGTTAAGTTGAAGAAGAAAACACAGAATGATAATTACTCGGTTTTATTTACTTGCAAGGTAAAACTTAACGACGGAAATGATGACAAAGAAAACTTAACTTAAGTATCTAAGTTTGAGCATATTAATAACTAACAAATAATTGAAATGAATCACAGTAAAACAAAAACACTAATGAAATTTATGTAATTGTGATTTTCCACCGACAATACTTTGTAGTTGTGGATCAATTTTACTTGTACCAATTATCAAAAGAGATTTAAGATGCTCATCGGTTAATTGAGATCTGTAAACATTTTTTGTGTACTTGGAAAATTCTCACACAAGTGAGTAAGTAGTACCAAAAACAGAAAACAACCCACGAGCAAATTCATGCAAATTATCAAATTGTTCCAGTGGAAGACTCTTATAAAATTCCAACAAAGATGAATTTTGATATTTCTTCTTAAGCATATCACTGCACCGTAAATCAATAATTTCCACTTGGACTTCCGGAGCCAGGGTTTCAATGTCAAAATCAAAAGGATTTTGAAAAGGTTCAATTTCATTCACAATGACATCAAAATCTGAAAAACGAGTATCGAAATTTATCTTCAAAGCACTTAAAGTTTTGATTGCAAAATTGACGGAAAATTCAGTCTCTGTAGTGTGGCTAAATATTTCACATGTTTCAAAATGAGTGAAACATTTTTTACGTAATTGCGATTGAAATAGTATTATTTTCTGCCTGAAGGATTTGATATTGGTGTATAAATCAGGGAGAAGCTGATTTTATCCTTGCAATATCAAATTCAGTTCGGTCATATGATTTGTCAAATCGACATAGAAGGCTAACTTCCACATCCATTCACTATTTTCTGAATCGGCAAAAGGGCGCTGCTTCTCATTTAAAAAAAAAATCGATATCTGCTCGAAGTTCAAAAAAGCGCTTAAGGACTCTTCCGCAACCAAGCCAGCGTACGGCAGTATGATATGGTAAATCATTTTCTCCAAGCTGTTGAATAAACTCGCAGAATTGTCGGTGATTCAGCCCAGTGGAGCTGATGAAGTTAACAACCGATATGACTGGTTTCAGAACTTCAGACATATCCAAACATTTTCCGCACAAGGACTGTTTATGAATGATACAGTGTAAGACTAATGGTTTTGAACCACCATCATTTTCTACAGCCTTTGACACAAGTGCAACCACTACTTTATTTTTACCATACATATTTTTGCCTCCATCAGTTGTTATAGATTTCAAATTTCTCCATCGAAGGTTCTTTTTATTAATGGCATTTTCAACTCCCTTAAAAATATCTGCACCAGTTGTCGTGCCGTGAATACTATCAATATCAAGAAGTTCTTCATACACTTGATAGCTTTTATCTACTCCGCGAATAAAAATCAACACCTGAGCAGTATCTGACACATCCGTCGACTCATCCAATGTCGTATTTTCTGAAAACGATCTGATGAAGAAATCTGGTGGCATTTTTTGATTCAGCAGACGCAAATTACCTATAAACAGTAAAAAAAAATCCGGCAGCAAACTATGTGTTTACCAATGTAATTAGCGGAAGAATTGCGTCAAAAGCAAACATGACTTTTGTGAAATCAATTTTCTGTTGAAATTATATCATCTTCTCACTTGAAACGTTCAAAATCCTCCATAAAAATATTTCCATTATACTCTTTATTACCGCTTCTAGGGCAAAACAAGCGTAAAAAAGCACAGCTACGCACCCGTGTGGAACGAGCAGCTAATTTTCACAGAGATGTTTCCGCCTCTATGCCAGAGGATAAAAATCCAGCTGCGAGATAATGATCCAGTGAAACCGACAGTGATTGGAACTCACTTCATGGATCTGAAATCCATATCGAACGACGGAGAAAAGGGTGAGACAAAAAGGTGAGGCTGCATATTCCGTAGTGTTGTAAGTGCCACTTTAGAGAAATTGATGTTTTTGATGGTAGATGTCCCGTTCCAACCTCAAATACTGAGCATGGGCTGTATAAGAAGCGACTTTCAATTCTGACTCGGGCATAAACTCGAACGAAACTGCTATAGAGATAATTGTGTCGTGGTCGTTAGGTTTTATGCCTGGCGTTTTGTCTATTATTGCACCTCAATACTGTACAATTAAAGACAGGTAGCCAGATTTCATTGATGTTCAATGCCTTTTCGTTTTCAATCGTAGAAGAAGAAAACTTCAAAAGAAGAAACAACCCTATTATCCTAACAAATTATCACTCAGCAACCATCTCATCAGTTTCTACGAATTTCTGCTGCATATCGATTTTTGAAAAACAATGAAAATCAAATCGAAGCACTTTATTCATCCTGTAGAACTTACAAAGTTATAGGATAACTTATAGTTATAGGGAAAGTTGGAATTTTCAAATGTTTGTATAAATCTCTGCAGGAGGTTCTCTGATTAACGCCTGGTAAAATCTGTATAATTTTTTTTTGGGCAATGAATACATTTGGAGCCAGTGAAGAGCTTCTCCAAAGACAAAACCTAGTTTCGATATCAGTTTATTGCAATGATTCTTCCAGTTTAGACAATTATCTAGCGTAAGTCCCAAAAATGTACATTCATCGGATAAAGAAAGTGTGTTTTCATTCTCATTAATTTTAATTTCTTGATTTGAACAGATTTTGTGCCTGTGATGAAACCTTACTAATGAAGTTTTTCGAAAATTGAAATGAAGTGAGTTGGCGGCACACCATGAAACCAAATTTGACACCGTGTTACAATTTTCTTTCAAAATTGTGTCGTCTTTGTCCGAAATTAGAAGTGATGTGTCATCTGCATACATAACGCACATATTCTCAGCAACCGCGGTCCCAACATCATTACAATATAATATAAATAATAGCGGTCCCAACACTGATCCTTGAGGTACTCCAATGGTCAAAACTTGTGTATTTGAAATACATTTATGATGACTATTTTCAGATCTATGATTCACCGAAACAAATTGACTTCTGTTTATGGTGAAATACTCCAAGTCACGGGCATTTCCTCTTATTCCATATGAATATAGTTTATTCAATAATATCGTGTGGTCGACGCAGTCAAATGCCCTACTGGGATCACAAAATATTCCAGCAGGGCATTCACCAGCCTTGCTGTACTCCAAGATTTTTGAGTAAAAACCTGTCACAGCAGTAAAAGTGGACATATTGGATCGAAAACCATGTTGAATCGGGGAAATAATGTTATGCCTCCAATGAAATGTAGTAAACAATGCATATTCGAATATTTTTGAGAAACTAGATGGAACAGTTATGGGCCCATAGTTCTCTAAAAGATATGGATCCAATTTTTTGGACAGGTACAACTTTACCGATCTTCAATTTTTCGGGAAACACTCCTGTACTAAATGATAGATTGACTAAGTAAGTCAAAGGATAAATAATGTATTGCAAGCTTTTTTTGATCAAGAACATTGTGATTTCATCGGGTCCAGAAGAACTTTTATTCTTAAGTTTATTAGTTGGGAGAGATAACAGCTCATTATCTGTAAAAGGCTCAAGAAATATAGAGTTATAAACATTAGCAAGATGATTGATGTGATTATTGGATGGGTTAATATTTTTAATCTCCTCAATTATCGATAATTTAGGACTCAAAGGACGAGAAAAAGTACAAAATGTAATTTGTGATGTATTTGTAATGAAAAAATTCAAAACCTGATATGTTTTATTCTATCTTTCTAAATGTTTTGAACTGAATTTACCCATCACGTTGCTAGTTCAAAACGTATCTCTAGAAATTAATTTTTACATAAATGGAAAGTGGTATAGTTCCGGAGAGATTGATTTTTACTTATTCTACTTTGTTGAACACAAAAGAGTATTTTTATAAAAACGAGGCAATTTCATAAAATTGAAACGATTATGTGAATATAAAGTTATCATCGCTCAAAACAATTTTGATGGAAATCAGGTAGCTTCTCAGCAAATAGAGAACTCTTTTTGAATTTCGAAAGCTTATAAAAATTGTCTATGCTGGTTTTCATACCCACTTAGTTCATAACCTTGAAAATGTCCGATAAATTTCACAAGAAATCAAATTATCAAATACACTCACTGAAATAATTGATTTCAACTATATAAATTATCGTTTGAATAAACTGAAATTAGACCCGTCAACTAAAGATATTCTTTTTAAATTATAATAAATCTCGAATTTCATATTTGAATCGATTCAACATCAATAATTCGGCAGAGCTACACACATTATTTCAATTTTCCACTTGTAAACAATAATAATAATGTTCATAGATATGTATAGGATTCGTTTCTCATTAGATTATGATACCGCTTTATATTTTCTCATGCACAACAATGTTTCTCATGCAGACCCATTCTCGGTATTTGCTCGTTCATATAAGTCCAGCACAGTTAACGAAAAAACGGCGATAGAAAAATACCAAAAAGACGCAGTTTGGCACTTACGACTTTCTGGAATAGGCCTCAAGAAATGTAAACGAATAAGACAGAACATTACAAAGGATTTGTCTCTGAACCAAATTTGTTCCGTCTACTCTTTAGCTTGAGAATTCAAAGCAAGAAAAATCATGTTTTTGAAGAATTTACTATCGAATTCGGAATAACAAAAATAATACAAGTTCCATGAATCAATAATTATATTGCAATAATTCTTTGCAATAAACTACAATCTATAAAGAGATTAAATCTGACAAAAATGTTGTCATAATCTGAATATTTGAACAAGACTAAGAACTAATATTGTTTATTGTTATGGTGTGTTTCTTTAAAACTGAATGACTTCTTCCCATTCAGTCTGTACTCCAAGTATTCGTTATAAGAACCCAACACACTGTAATATATGAAAAAAAACTCAGTGTATAATTTCCTTCCATGAAATTTTATCATCCTTGACGTTTCCTTCTCAAAAACACTCATCTGTAACTCCTAATCACCACTTTTACAAACTTCAGAAAGCGGAAACAAGCATTTCCCACATGAAAAATAAGTACGACTTATTTCCACTTGAAGAGACCAGTCTGACAGATCATTGAATATTCTTACGGATATTTGATTCAGTCTCGGCCATAGGAATTCCGTTCACATTGAAAAAATTGTTTTTTTTTCCTATAAGAAATATAAGGAAATTCTGTATGATTACAGAAAATTAGAAGATGAAAAATCTCTCTAGATTTTGAAACAAATAATTATGTATCTTCATATATTAGTCATTTAAAGAATCATCAGAACATTTATTTATAAAAAAAAGTTTATTACAAATCTATCTCATCTCAAAATAGAATATGAGAAAAAAATTTAAATCAAAATGGCTCAGTTTTTGAAATATTTTGGAGAACAGCAATTCATTGCTGTTCTCTTAAATGAGATGTTTCTCCATTTTCTGATATGCAAATTGAAAAAAAATGAGTTTTTAGTATTCATTCCACCGCTCCTAGAAGGAATTCCCCAAAGAAATTCCCAAACGACGCGTCGTTTTATAAGAACAGTAGCAATTCGAAGTTCTCCTTTGTCTCGTTCATGTCTTATTCTGTTTCAAACTATTCCTGTGACACGATGTGAGCTGTACCTATAATTGTGTGTCAACGTAGTATCTGGAGTAGGTACATGAAAATTACTTCCCTATAGGATTTCTGCCCACGTTCGGGCCGTCTTTCATACATCTGTACGGCTCTACCAGAGACTACAGTCTTATTGACGAACATTCCAGCCTGAATGCCGGACTTGGTGAAGGTAAGATTTTATAAACTGAGAAAAATTGTATGATGGAATTGGCCAATACTTGATGAAAATCCATAACGTATTCAAAAACAGTTAAACAGTTTAACAAAAACGCAACACCATACATCGTCACCAACATAAACTAGCTACATTCCATGGTATGATTCACAGGCAATTGAAAATTCCACTCTAATGTCCAGAGAGAGCTGAGTTTCATCAAACAAATCGCTGTCCACAACGTTTTTAAGGTAGTTATTATCGACTCCATTCTTTCCAAAAAACTACGAAAGTAAGCCATGGACTAAGCCATCCAAATTCAAGATAAGATAACGTCAGTTATAGCGCATTGTCATATTTTGGTAAACCCACCAAAAAAATCGCCTGATTTTTGAATGAAGGATGCGTAGACGTAGCTTACAGAACGACTAATAGATTGGGAGTATATAGCTGACTTGTGTCTCTTGCCCGAAACTATATATTGGCCAAAAAGGGAGAACATTTTTCTACAGAATTAAAGGACACAGAAGTAGTTTTGTAAATAGAAAGACCAATTTCACATTGGCAAATTACTTTTCAGCAGAAAGACATGAGTTCAATCATGAATACGGCGTGTAACGTTTAAAAGGAAAAAGTTCGAAACTCAATCTTCTATAATGTCTTGAAATAAATAGGTTCATGAATTCGGGTGATTTACTGAATGACCAAATAGAATTGAATAACGCCCCGTCACTAAACATTTTTTCAAATGTACTGGTACATAAGCTCAGGTCATTAATTCATTACAAACTTAGGTACACATAAAACATTAAATTTCTAGATAAAACTCAGGTACCTGAAATTTAGGTACTTCAAATTGTGAAACTAGATGTATTCAGCTTCAAATATGTAGAATTTAGTTAGTGAAGGCACACCCGAAAAAGCCATTGTATGGAGAAACACGTGTTGTGTTTTTGTAAATTTGTTTAGTGAAAATCTCATAGTGTTTCCACATGAGAAAAATTGTTATATTTCTGAAACATTGATGTCATTGTCACTACATTCTATAAATCTTTTAATATAATCTGGTTACTAGAGTGTTAGTAGAGTGATCACGGATTTAAACCGCAGATGAAGCACGTTTTCGTTTGTTTGTTTTTTGTTAGCATGTAATACTATATTTTTTTAAACATTGCAGTCTCAAAATAAATTGCAAAACATTATCTAACTAAATAGCCTGCGAACATTGATGAACACGCATAATTTCATCATAATTTTTTCATGCACATTGTCTTTACTTACCAAGTGAAATGCTATCGATAGTTGATGGTGTTGGTGTTGGTATTGATTCATGTATTATGGAAACATCTGAAACAAAACGTTCAAAAAGATCATCCTTTCACTAATATTGAAGAATTTACGTAACTGGGTACACTTGGGTACACTTTATAATTAGATTCATCTACAAAAAATGTTTAAATACAAGGTATTTTCATAATGATTTTGAAGTTAACATTTCAAGCTTTTCTAATTGTTCATGTGAACCTTATATAAGTATTTAACTAGCTAAAAAATTATTTTTGCCAAATTTTAAAACTATACAACAAATATAAAAGAAATATCTCCCAAACTACAGAATATCTTCGAATTCTGCAAAACCTACTGAGTTAACAGGAATGAAAACTCCAACTTCACATATAAATCAATCCAAATTTTTCAATATTGAAGATAGTACTGTAGATTAACATTTTTTGCGATGGCAATTATACCCCAATTAAATTGGGGTATAATGGGAACGGATACCCCTACAGTGAGCCACTGGATGCTGCTAGGAACATTATGTTACTTGTAATCAATAGTGTTTTCTACAATGGCTAATAACTAGAATGTCGAGCTTTTCGACCTCTCCACTACGTTTTAAACCATAAAAAACCGCATAGGAGCTGACGTCCAGTAAGTCTCCACCACATCCCCAATGTAGGCTGTCATCGGTGATTCCGAGAACATAAAGTCGGCGATTCCGTAGAATTTATCGACAAATAAACCAAGAGGGCGCTAAGCAGTATTTTCTCTAATAAAAGTCGCATCGTCACGTGCAGCACGTCAAATTGAAGAAAAGGAAATGTAGAAATCATCGACAAAGAAAGAACAAAGTTGGTGCCACTGCACCATCTTTGCAGTGCCACTGCAAGCGGCACTGATCCGCTTTATCTATCAGTATATATATATATACCGCGACACAGCAAAATAAACATTCATAGAGATTTAGAGCTACAAAAACTCATGGCATTAAAACAGCCTAATGACTCTTATTCTCGTTAATCCACTAGCATTTGCAGAATTGACATATATTCTCCAGTTCCGGAGACATTTCATGTGGGAGTTACAGGTGGGATATATCAAATTACAGGTGTGTCATACAGGGCGAGACTTCTAGTTTCGATAAGAACAGAAATAACCGACAATATAGACTTATCACCAGCAGCCGTAGAGCTTGAACCGACTGTTCCCGTCAACGAGGCTTCCTACGCCAAAAACGAAGAGTTTTTTCTATTTGCTACCATCTTAGAAGCATCCATGATCGACAAGAAGCTTGGCGATAAACCCGTCTATTTCGAAATCAGCATTGGGAATGCCGGGAATGCGATAGACGGTCATAATGAGTCAGCAAGAGAGCATTATGATTCTGATAGTGACGAGCTAGGTGAGTCTAATACTTTTATAGATTAGCTATTGAACATAGTCATATGAGTTAAGATTACTGTTGTCTCCGAATCTGCCAAAAACATTTGAATAAAGGCAAAAATAGGTAATTGAAATGAACAAATTGAAAAATTTGAAAATTGCGTCATTAAGATATGGAAATGGTTAATAAAAAGTACTCTATACAATACATCGATTGGAGTTAAAATTGTAATTATCATTATTTATTTGTTTATTCCCGAGAAACTACAATGGTTTATACAGGGAACTATTCATACAAGGAATATTCACACATAAATATATAACTTCAAACAAAAAAAATAAACAAATATGATTAAGTAATTTAATAAAAACAAATAGCTCTTTAATGCTATTTTGCATTTTTCTGCGTTGGAAAATTGTTAATTGTCATTTTCTTTAGAAAATGGTTTACAAATAATCCTGAAACATTAGGCTCAATAGATTCACTCTGAAAATACCGAATTGCACACACACACTATGAATTTCATTGATTCTGCATAACATTAGGACGAGTGGCATTTCGATCCCAATTCACGAACAATTCCCTTCAATTTACTTCAAAATGAAATTTCTCGCTTGGGAAATAATTTCATCAGTTTGGAATGCGAGAAACTTTGACAGATACGAGTACGAGTATGACGGCAATTGAAATTTCCAGTACAGTACGAGTTTGGAAAATCTAACTCTATGCCTCTGAGAAGCGCGAACGATAAAGAGAGATTGGTAACTGTCCGCTACCAACTTTTATCAGGAAGTAAAATCGGAAAAGAATTTTGAATTAAATAAATTCGGCAAGTGTTGACAACTACACATATACCAGTAGGGAACAGGAAACCCAATTCTTCCTTTTGTACAGGTGGAAAATAATTGAAACAGAATGAGTGATATATAATTGCAAATAACAGATACGTACATTCTCACCAGAGAAATTGAATAAACTCACAACCAATAATTGACAGATAATTGAATGCATAGTTACTAGAAATGATTATGAAACGTAGCAGGTGGAAAATCTACAAAACATTGCTTGCAATACTGATAATAACATACCCAATATAAAGGTACATACAATTCATATAAAATTTCCGAATATTGGTTGCCCAAAGATTATAATATGATTTTTCTCCAACTGTTGATACATGGTTCCGAATAGATTACCATCTTCATCCCAATAATCGTGTATGATTTACATGTGTCGCTATCCTCATCATGTAAATCATACACGATGATGTCTTTTATGACGAGATTTCCATTGCTCGGATAAAAACTGTTCAAAAAAATCATCGCAATATTGCATGACATCGTTGTACTTGAAAGAGAAATCTTTATTCTCCACGTAATCTTTCAGTGTAGCCCAAACCAACTCAATTGCATTCAAATCCGGGTGGTATAGCGGTAATCGTTCAACGTTGTGATTTGCTGCCAGAAAGAACTGATCTATTTCATACCGCTTGCATTTTGGCTTGTAGTTGTTTATGACGACATATAGTTCAGGTTTCAGCGTGTTTTTTTGCAAATAGAATATTTCTCTCTGATAACCTTTATTGAATATCGGCTTCTTTGGTCAATTTATTCATTATTATATGGTGCAACTTCTACGGAAACAGGAGGATCTTCTTGCTAATGGTTCAACAGCTAATCCTTTACCTCTCTCCTTCTCCATTCTCATTATTCCAGTATTCTTTCATTTTCCTTTGTTTTTCTTCCATCTCTTCTTTATTTTTCTCATCTTGTAATTCTATTTCTTCACTTGTTACTCCGGTTAACGTATGTTATTTTCTTTTCACTTCTAATTGTATTGTTCCTTCCTTTTATTTTTCATTTCTCGTTTTCTTATTGTTTTCTTGTTGCTTCAGTATCATCTCTCAACATTTCTTTGTTCATTTTCTCCGTTCAACTAGTTCTTTTTTCTGTGTGAACGTTGTTCTTGTATTCACTACATACAAAATGAATCGGTTTCCATCTCTTCTCAGTCATTTTTATCATCGCTTTAGCAGTATCAATTTTCTGAAATTTCTCATAAGTGGGAACTCTGTAAATTAACAACTTTCTATTCGAAAATTCTGAATTACAAAAACTTTTAATCTTTCATTTCATCAAATTATTTCACTTGTTTCACTGTTTTACTTCGCTTGCCATTATTGCCAAATCTAACTCTACAATAACCGCTCTCTAAGTTAAAAAAAAAAGTTTGTTAAACACTTCATAATCCATTGTGGATTAAGAAAAAAAATAAAAATTTATTTTGCATCGGCCGGGAATCGAACCCGGGCCGCCCGCGTGGCAGGCGAGCATTCTACCACTGAACCACCGATGCTTGTTATTTGATAATGGCAACAAACTAGATTTTCCTAAATCGACTAATTACCAGTCCGTGCAAAGCTTATTGTTAAATCATCTGAAAATGGAATTTTTAACAGGTAATGATCGACTGTATTGTCAAACATGCGCCAAACTAACTGACTGTTATAAGGAAACAAGTATAGCTGAGGAACCAGTCAATCTAATAATAACTCTGATGATTTTCAAACAAGACTCAACCTCTAACGGAAGCAAGAAACTCTTTGGAAGGTTCGAAATAGATGAACGTTTCAACCTAGCAGACCACTGTTATAATATTCATGCAGTCATTGTTCACTGTGGTTCTGGCGTTGAATTTGGTCATTATTACGCCTTGGTCAAAGAAGAAACGGACTGGTTTAAGTTTGACGATAGTCGTGTCACGAAGTGTTCTGGCGATGCATTGAATTTATTGGAGCCTCTGGAGACACCCTACATTTTGTTTTATGAGAGAGGGGACATTGTTAGATCAAGATCTACAGATGATGTGGTGCTGCAGGTTTTTCCGGGTTTTCCTGCAGCTGAAAAAGCAAATACGCCACTGGAATCAATGAAGTCGCCCCGGAGCGCCAATTAATTTTTATTGTTGTATTTATTTCATTTTTATCCTTGTTTTAATAAAAATTTCAGAGGTGAAAATTAAGATAATTTTTTATAATGTAAATAACAAAACAAAAAACATTAATGTCAATGTAAGAGATATTCAAAATGTTTCCCGTTCTATTCTCAAATTTTGTAACGTTATTCAACTTTTTTTTAAAAAAGCTTAGTCGAGTTTGATTTATATACAATACTTTCGATGTACTCTCCTAAGAAGCCAGATGACCTCAAATCAGGTAATCGTGCTGGCCATGCCAGCATCATTCCCCGCCTGCGTATCAACTTATTTGGAAATATTCGTTTGAAGTACTGCCGGATATTCATTTATTTGTGGATTTGCTGGTTCAGGATATAGTTTTGTCAAATTTGTGCAAGTATTAACCTTTTTAGGGCATTGCATGTGTTATTCTCTCCTCTAGTGAGGATTTTTTCTATAGCGGAAACTCCTGTCCTCAAGGATAAGGGTTTGAAAAGGGGTTGAAGCATTTTCGGCGAAGAAATTGATTTTTGAAAATGAAGATCGACCTGTTCGACATTTTTTCAAAATATATCACTCTCATGACAGGTAGATTTGGAACCTGCAACGTGAAATGAATCTAAAAGACACCTTTCTCACAACACAAATCAATCACTGTCTTCGACAAGCTTTTTGCTAACCAAGTAACCATCACCAGGAGATGAGTTGCACTGATGATGCTAACTTGGTTAGCGAAACGAGCACCATGAGACAGTGCTTTGATTCTCGTGTAGCTTTGCGAAATTCCTCATCAAATAATGAAATATCGGACCGCAGCTAATCAATTTGGTGTAATTACAGAGACAGTGTCCTGCGACAGCGCGTCTTGGCAAAGCACTACATCACCATCTAAGCCAATGACACATGACAAGATTCATTACTTTTTACCCTACTGGGACAACAAGCCCTGCATGCACATCAGATCCGTTTGGGCGGATTACAGGAGAAGGATGTACAACTCGAACCTTATCGCTAAGCTGGCTGAGAAATTCGTGAGTATCTCTCGTCACATAATGAGAGTTCAGTAGTTCATTCTTGAAAATTATTACCGGGCAGTTTGCCGCATTTCATGATTTAGAGAGTATACTTTCTTTTCTTCGACACTTTATCAATAGAACCAATCTCATTTCTCGATATGTATTCTGTTTTCTTTTTATTTCAACAAAATTATCATTTCAGTTCCTCATGAGCTATTTATTATATTCACATAGAGATCTACTCAACACATTATTCGTAAATCATAGGTCTTGTACAGGGTAGACTATAATATCGAACGATATAACTGCGGTACAATTCAATTTTAAAGAAAGGTGTACTTACTATTAGGTAATTTCTTTACAGAATACCTGTTGCTGGAAAATACACAGGAAAGCCTCTGAGACACAACTGAAAATTGACTTAGAGATTTAAAAAATGGATTCCATAGGCTTGGAGGTGGCAGCAGATCGGTTATTTAGAGCGATTATCTCAACGAGCAATGTTAGCCTAGGATAAAAACGATTTATGTGATGATTGTCAGACCAATGATCACTTATGGTGCAATTGCCTGGTGGCAAAAGGCTCAGGCAAAGCTCTCCGGCTCACAGATACAGGCTTGTCTGGCCATCAGTACCACACCGTCAGGGACCATGAAAATACTTCTAGATCTACCTCCTCTTCAAATTTTTCTGGAGGGAGAGGCTTGATGGACTACATATAGACTTGTTGTGCACATGGCCAATTGCACAAATCAATTCAATGCAGAACCAGTAACTATCTGCTCTTAATGGAGCAGATAGTTACTGGTTCACAGATGGATCACCTTCAGATTCTGGTGCAGGTGTTTTCAGTTCGCAGACTCATGCCAGAGATATCAACCTGCCTAGGAACCTATGCGACTGTCTTTCAAGCGAAAATTTACGTTATTGAATTATGTGTGGAGAGATTGGAAAAGTCCAACCTCATACACAAGTTAATAAAAATATTCTCGGACAGCGGCGTTGGAAGCTCTTGGCTCCTACCGAGCAACGTCTAAATTGGTAGCAAATTGCCAAAAACGACTCTCCTCGATAGGAACACTTAACAGATAGTCTCTGGTCTGGATCTTGGCCATTCTGGCCTGAAAGGCAATGAGGCTGCTGCAAAGGAGAGTGCTGCAAGCAGCTTTATGGGACCAGAACCTGTCATTGGCATTGCTTTAGGCTTTGTCAAACAAAAATTGAATACCTGGATGGCAGGAAGATTTATGGACTTCTGGCAGAAGCTTCCAGGATTGGCTCACTTCGAAGCTGTAGTCCAACCAAACAGTTGTTGGACTACAGTAGGGATGAACTACGGGTCAGAAATCACCATTATATTACTTGAGTCCTAGAATCATTCAAAACTAGGGACCCCTGAAAGGATGTCCAGACAGTACTAGCTATTGGTACCACATAAAGTGGTGAAGGAGAATAGATGGACCGTAAACTAATTCGAATCGTATAACTAGCCAGAACCAGATGACAAATATTTCAAATTGATTACTTCCTTCTTTTCTCTGGAAGATTCCCTCATCCTTTTTTGTATCAAGATGGAGTAGTACAAAGCCAAAAACTTTCTTTCCCAAAAATTAATCACTCCTAAAAATATAACCTCTTCATTTCAAATAAGATTCCTCTTGGCTGTATACCAGTGAGGATGACAGTGTTCCATGTAAGTGCAATTTGTTACCGTTCATTTAAAGTAGAACTCATGTGAATGATATCTGATTTTTATTCCCTTCATTACAAATATTCAGTAATGCTGTGAAGAGAATGAGGGTTCCTACTTCTACAACTGTATATGATTCAGAGCGAATTCATTTCAAAGATGCATACCTAAGATATGGAAATTTATTAGAGACATTTTCAGACAGGATTCTGGGAAAACTTCGACACCAGGTTTCATGGTATGCATCGAAGACATTACAAAATCTACATGACAAGTATACAGGGTGTTCCTTAAACACATGCTAATATTTAAGGAGGTAATTCTTAGACCCATTTTGAGAAAAAACTTCCTATGGACGTATGTCCTAAACGCCTCAACTTCTGAGATACAGGGTGGCAAAGTTTTCAAAAATAATCAGTTTTTCAATAATAACTGAGATAATTTTGTAGACATCTTTGGCATATTTGGTACATATGTTTCATGACTCAACGCGCATTTTCTGATGTACACAAATTTGTATTTTTTCAAACAGTGGCATCCCTACGGGTTTCGCATTGAATATTTTTGGGGAAAAAGTACTACGCCAATGCTTTCTTTTCAAAATAAAATCATTCTTAAAATCCTCATTTATTCTTGAGAAAATTTGATCTCCTGGTATTTCTTTGTCCGACGCATGATTTTCACTCAAAAAAATAAAAATCGACAGAAAGTAAATTAAGAAATTAAATCAATTCTAAAATGAATGAGAATCTGAAAATTGCTTCATAACGCATTACCAATTCCCTAATAATATTTGAAAACATACTCTGCAAAAAAATAAATTTTTCACAAAAACGAGTTTTATTTTATTTTGTGACAGTAAGTCTAAACGAATAGCACACATTTGTTAATTAGTAATAATACCAAAACTGATTATAAAAATTGTTGGAAGTGGCCACCTGCACTT